ATTGACCGAATTCCCATTAATTGACTGACACTGAAATGTGAAAATGTTTTATTTCTAATGAAACAATTTCCGGTAATCATTTGTGTTGTGCCCAATTAAAATGTATGAGATGTTTTTTAAATTTTTTTTTATCTAATGAAATATTTTCCATTTTAATGGGTTTATGTATTTAATGACAGTGTTTATTTGAGTACATATTTATTTACTGTTCTCTACATGAAAAGGGCACTGAATATATAATGCCCATGCACCCAAGAGAAAAGAATAAGTAAAATGCCCTTAAATATTTGAAGAGATCATGAAATTAATAAACAGTAAGTTCTTAAAAAAAAGACAAAAGGGTCGGGAAATACATAAAATTCATCAAGATGGATTCAAATCCAGCAATTTTCTGAGCCACTTATCCTCACCTTTTAAAATGAAATAAGATGATTTTTTTTTCCAGTCCTGTTGATCGAGTTAACTGGCTTCGTGAGTGTTTAATTTGGAAAACGCACACCAAAAATCGGCGGTGTGATGACCACATAGTTCGCACATCCGTCTCACTGTGCAGAGGTGTGTGCGTGTGTTTGCCTTTATCACAAAATCTGTGTGTGCGTAGAACCGCGTGTCCATGTGTGTGAGTCTGCATGTGCGTGTCCATGTGTGTGAGTCTGCATGTGCGTGCGTGTACACGTGTGTGTTTTTGTGTCCACCGACGTGGATCCATGTGTGTGTTTGTGCGTGCGCGCGCGCGGTGCGGCTTTGGTGCAGCGTGTGGTCAACCGCGGCGCATGCGCATCATGTTCTTGGTCTGGCGTGTTGGTGCTCAGCGAGCCATTCCGCTCGGTCTCACAGTTTCTCTTTTGGCACATATTCTACTTTTGCTGCTCACGTCACGTATTTTATTTTCAAAGTTGCAATCCCTGTCGAGCCTGTACCAAATATTGTGGCCAGTGACCTTTTTATGATGACCTCGTCAGGTCGCAACGTTCAGGACATAAACGGAGAAAAGGTGCGTCGACGGACAATGCATCGCTATTAGATCCCGCCAAGGAGGAGAAGGAAGACTTTCATTAGGAAACTGTTTTTTATTCGCCCCTCCCAAGTTTCCCGTTCCTTTTTTTTTTTTTGGGGGGGGGGGGGGCGATTGGGCAGAGGAGGAGGAGAAATACGGAGAGGGAAACAAGAGTGACGCTGGGCGAGGTGGGACAGGAAGAGGGCCTGACAAGCGAGGAATTTAAAGTCTCAGTGTGGGTCGCGAGACGAGACGAGAGACACGAGACGAGCATGGACGCCGCGGCCAAGGTAGGAGAAAATATTTTTTAAATAATCGTGTACACGTGGAAAATCTCGCAGTATGTGGTAAACTGTACATGAATAATACACCACTCACACACAAGTGTTTGCTGTGTTTGGCTTTAAGGATGAAATTTCCAGTCCTGACTGCTATGGGTTTTTTTTTTTTAGCCTGATCCCGATTCCAATATTTGGCAGGAAAAAAAAAACATCCGATGACTGATTCATCAACCGATTAAGCTTAAAAGTCTATAATGACTAAATACTCAAACTTTGGCCCCTTAACCCTCACAACAACAAACATGAATTACAGGCAGAACATTTGACTGATTTACAAGACTGTCTTTTTGTATTTCTGAACTTCACAACAGGGAGGAAGTTCAAAAGCATTCACTGATGAATTTATTGTTACATTTAGGACACAAATGTATGCAGTGTATAATCAACGCTGCCAAAACGTGATTTATGCGTGATGCCCTTTAGCAGGAAATCGCAGTTCTTCAACTCTGTTTTTTTTTTTTTTTGTCACGAAGTGATGACTTCAAAATCTAAAACAGAGACGCAAAACATCTTTGACAGTTGCATTTGAACGATGTAAGGCACAGGAAAAGGAAAACTGAAACTGGGGACCTTCTTTTTTTGTTCGTTTTAAGCAAGTTTCCCCGGAACGGAACATTACCGTCAAGTTAATGTGCGTCTACAGTCCAGCAAACGCTGAAATTTAGCTAGCCCAAATTTCCTCCTAAATCCCCTTCTGGGCGTTATTCTCCATTTCTCTACTTGTTGCTGAGCGGGAGAAGGAGAAGCTATAGAAACAAAAGGACGCCCAGAAGCTTCTGCAGCAGCGACGTAACACAACAACGCGACTTGAAATACGAATAAGATAAGTAAGAAAGATGCACTTTGGACTGATTGGAGTCAGCACGTCACCTAGCGGACAATCAATGCAATGACATCATTCTGAGTAATTTAACATCATTTACCGTTTTATGAGAAAGTGAGATTATATTCGCGTTTAATCGCCAAAACTCCAGCCGATTATGATTATTTGGAAAACAGCTAATATGAGGTAATGAAATCAGCAGACCAATTAATCAATCAGCAGACCAATTAATCAATCAGCGCTACTAAAATGCAATATAACCTTTACGGATTCACCAAATGTGACCATGTGTAAACTTTTTAACATATGCAAACTCCGCCCCTGAACTTGGAAAGCAATGAAAACATCTCAAAAGAGTATATACATATTTTTAAACCTGCATCAAAAATATGTTTAGAGATCACGTAAAGCCACCCCAGATTGAAATTTTATATTGACTAATATAAGTGACACCTACACTGTACATAAATAAATCTGATACAAACGATACTATACAATTAAAAAAAAACATTTTAATGTAGTTGGGAACTAAATAAACAGCAGTAATGCAAACTATCAGCATTGGAGTACTGACAGCGATACACAAATGGTGACGTTCATCCGTGATCACCTGATGGATCAAGATCACCTGTCAGGGGCTTAATCCCCCAAACCCTCCTTGTATCCAAGAGACAAACACACACACATGCACACACGCACACACATTATTGTGGAGAGCTGGAGACGTCACGATGACAAATTTAGCCTCCGCTGAGCCAGATGTGCTTTACATATTGGCTGCAATTTTTACAGCGCCACAAATATGAGGGGACAATTTCAACTGAGCCCCTGTCTTCGCCTCACAAGTGGACTAACATACAGTCCTCTTTTTCGAAAACACCATTTCGAGTGTTGAAGGAACGGACACTTGGTTCACATCAGAAACGATTGAAAGCCTTCCTTGCGGTGATGAGATTTGGGGAAAGGATGAAAGACAACCTCTTCTTTTTTTTTGGAATCTCATGACTGTCGTGTACTGGTCTCAGAATCACAAACAGCAAGTCGGCATGCATCTCGGTGACCTTGGGCTTCTTATCTCATTAGCATTTCCTGCTCTTTTCCACCACATAGTTGGCGTGTTTGGAATGACTTGGCCAAGCCAAATTCTTCTTATCGCACTTTCTAAATATAGACGCCGTCCCCTCGTCGACGCTCCGAATTGGCTGCGGTTGGCGGCCGATCCTCCTCATTCTCAGCGCCGTGAAGTAATTCAGGAGTGGTTCAAAGGTGAACAGAGAGGCAAGGTTGTTAGCGTTAACGGAAGCGAACAAAATAACAAAAGTTGAAATTGGGGGAGGAAAAAAGCATTTTAGTTCAAGAAATAAAATAAAGATAAAAATGGTTTTGGAAAAAAAACTGAACCTCATGTTTCGAAAACTGTCCAGCATTGCTGTGCATCCGTACAGAAAAAGGAAGATCAAAACGTTGTTTGCGAATTATAGCTCACTTTATTGAACAATGCATGACTTTTTTTGTTTTGATCTTGGATTTGACAAATACTCCATATAATGCATTAAAAAAACTAAAACTAATACTCAAACTAATGATCAACAAAACTAAACTAAAACCAAACATTTCACAGATAAATATCGACTTGTTTCGAGTCTTCAATGCACACGGCGGACATGTTTTTTCAAAGATCAAAAGACAATTTTAGCATTCAATGAACACATCCTTGTTTTGGAAAACAACAAAGACAATTTCAAGTCTTCCAAAGACCTCAGGTGCAGCTTTTTCTCTACATCATGGATGATTTTGAGAAAACGTTGCCCGTGTATGAGGTTGCGGTCATGTCCCTGTGTCTTCTAGTGACAGAATTCTAAGTGCCGCGTGTGACACGAGCGACCCCGGTGCTCTGAAAATGTTGCACAATAAAAGCTTTTGGAGCTTTTAAGCTTTTCAAGTTCCTATTCCTGAGTCAACATGACACTGCCTCCGAGCCCTGACCTAAAGCCCGTCAGGCTCCCCTGGGATGAACCCGAGTGCCAGTCTCCTTGCTAATACCTGTTGACAGACAAACAGGCGGCCGGACAGATTGTCCAATGTCACAACTTCAGCCAAAAGATTTCAATTAAACAAAGGCCGGCTGGGCCGGGAGGGGCATTGCACCCCCTCCCGCCTTTTTTTTTTTTTATTGGTGTGCAACATATTCTAAAAGTAAAATTAAACATCGTCAGCTCGCTCTGCCCTTGGGAGTTGAAAAGGAAAAAGCAATCCAAGCATTCCTGTCCATCAGTCTCATGAACTGCAATTAGAATTTGAGAGCCCGTTCTGTCAACATAAAATAGAAGTTAAAGCATTTACAGACCTAAAATCATTTTCACAAACATCAAGGACAATTTTGTTTTTAAAAAATGTTTTTTTACAAATATTAATGACCATTTATAAACATACATATTTTTTGTGAACACCAAAAACAATTTTCAGTCTTCAATGAACTGCACTTGTTTTCAAAAAAGACAATTGTGACGTTTCAAATGGACTCAACACCTTTTTGGAATCGTCAACGCCATTTAAAGGCTTCAACAGACCCAACAAGAGCCTGCCTAGCAACAGGTGACATCATCCCTGTCCAGCAGTTCATGCAATTGGCATCCGTCCGGCTCACTGAGAAGTCGCGCTGCTGTTTTGTTTCGCGAAATTGTTGAAACGTGCTCATTCACAACATTCAGAAATGAGCAGCACGAGTGATTTATTGTTGTGTTTTCTTCCCCGCTCAGATGTCAGGAGAGGGGAGTGCATCAAATCCAGCTGTGTGTCTTGTTTGCAAAGACGGCTGCTCTGGTTTGCAGCCACATTCTTGGAGGTAACGTCACGTTTTGATTCAGTCAACTCTCGTTTATCGTCTGCTTTATACTGCAATCCACAAGATGGAGAGACCAAATAAAAACATTCTTTCAACTAGTTTTACCCCTGGCTCGTGCTTTTAACACATTGAAACCCACTGAAACACACGTTTCTAAGTCTTCATTAGCACCTCTTCTCGTTCTTGAAAAGAGGAGATTCTCAACATTCCTTCAAGAGTATACAACAGAGAGAATTGAACACTGTGTATTTAACACCCAAATGTTCAACCAAACTTTAGATGTTGTTTCATCTCACGAAAGTCGGCTAGCTTAATGCTACCATATAATGCAAAACACCATAGACGGGCTAAGGAAAAGAAGAAGAGACTTTACATTACTGCTACTTCAGCCATACAGAAACACATTCAAACTTCTTCTTCTTCTTCCTCGCTGCAAGTCTACCGGTAGAGCTCAGTGCTGCCTGGCATGTTGTGGCAAAAATTGGTAGTACACTGACGTGTGCCACTCTAAAGTATGGGAGAATTAAAAAATATGTTTAAACCTAGAGTTAAACGTATGTCCACAAGGTATATATTCATGTACCTGTAGACTGTATAAAAAAAAAACAAAACAAAAAAAAAAAAAGACAAAAAAAACCCTAAAATGCCACAAAATAGCAGGGGGCGCTAACACTGGTTCCCAATATAAGATAAGATAAGAAATCCTTTATTAGTCTCGCAATGGAGAAATTCCCACAGCAGCAAAATTATGAAAGGAAGAAGTAGAAGAACAAAATATAGGAGCTGCTGGAAAGGCAGCCACTCTCGCGGCGCCATCTTGAAGTCAAAATAACAAAATAAAACAACACATAAGACACAGACAGTCGTGCAATATATTGGGGGAACACTACAATTCACATGGAATGTGTCACTGACCCAAGTCAGGGCTTCGGCGTTTCTTTTTCAGGAAAGCATGCTTGGCCTGCGGCTGCAGCGTGGTGGACCACGCCCCCGGTAACCACGCGGATGATGACCGGCGAATGGGACGCCTGCTGGCCGACTCGCCCTGCGCCCACCTGACAGCCAAGGTGAAAGGGGGCGGTGGCCTTCTCCTATACAAGAGGAACCGCATGATCGTGACCAATCCAGTGGTCTCGCGCAAGGACCCCACGTTCAGTACCACCACCTACGATTGGGCGCCCGCCGGCCTCAACCAGAAACTGGTGAGGAAAGTACCAGGAGCAAAAACAGCCTGTTTTGGGGATTCTTAAGACACGTTCATGTAAAAATCAAAGATAATTTAAAGATTTAAAGTGAGGTATAGTTGTTTTCACGAACGCCAAAGGCAATTTACTTACAAACTTGCTCTTTCAGGAATTTTTGCAAACATCAAAGAGTCTTTTATTGGCTACAACTAACCATACATGTTTTGTAAACATCCAAAGACGATTTTCAGTCTTTAGATAACCGAACATATATTTTTGACTGTTAAGAATCTTGAAACAAACCTAACACATCTTCGTAAAGACCAAACATAAGTGTTTTCAAAAACCTCAAAGACAATTTAGTCTTAAACAAAAGATCACCTTTCGTTTTGGACCGATAGCGTGTTTTTGTAAATATCAAAGACAATTTTGGGCATCAATGCTTTTATGTAATCATCAGGTAAAATTTGGGGTGAAGACAATTAGCAGTCTTTAGCAAACCTAACGTTTGTTGTCGTCATGAACATCAATGACCATTTCAAGTGAACCAACCGAAGCCACCATTGTAAGCTTGCTGCGATAACTCAGCAGCGCTGCATGATTTTTACCAGCTGCACCCTCCCTGCTGGATTGTCTGCTTTCCATTAAAAAAGCCTCACGTCTGTTTTGGGTTTCACAGCGCGTGATTGCAAGCGTGATTGTCGGAGCAGGAGGGTGAGGTTCGCCTTTGAGGTGGTGGGGGTCCAGCATCATTGCGGTGTGACATGTCAAGTCAAATATGTTATTCATTGAGAAATGAAAAAGCATTCCAAGTACAACTTTAGACTATTAGTCACGACTCCGCTGCTGTCATCTGATAACCTCACAGACCACAAAGGGAGTCAGAGTCTGGGCGGATACACCAAATGGGAGCTGGGAAAGTGAGCGCCACATGCTTAAAAATATCTATAATGCACTCTGACCATGAGTCTTATAAAGCAAGAATTTTGGTGGTACAAGATATTTCATAGGTGGAAGTAAAGATGAAATAACACTGGCTCAACAACAGATCCCTGTGGAATGCCAAGTTATTGCTCCCAAAGGATGTCAAATCTGTTTTGGCACAAGTCAGTTCAGGCAAAAAGAGAACTAAGGTCTCATTCACAGGGAAACAATATACAACATTGAGAGAATAAATTCATAGAATGACAAGAATAAAGTCCGAAATTCAAGAATTTGAATGAGTCTGTTGTAGCACAAAGACTGATCAGGGAGAGTCAGTATGGTGCCACAGGGCATCCTGTGGAATAGTAATTTGTGAATATGCTGTTATCTTACCTGATAAGATTTTATTTTTCTCATGGTGACTGACTTCTGTGACACGTTACAATCACATCATTTGTCAACCGACCGTTTTCCGAGTCCATCAGGGAGGACGGAGACTTCCCTTAACCGGGCCTTGTCTGACATTGTTTGTCACAGGAGAGTCGCTCAGGATAGCTCAACGCTGGGAGGAGGATTGTGAACTCCTGCCCTGTTGAGTTTGATTGAAAGGGGCTGCAGAGAACTGACCAGAATCTTTGATGATGATGACGATGATGATCAGAGTTTCACACTCACAGGCCAAGAAGTACATGGAGCTGATCCCAGAGAGCCAGCGTCCTGTCTCCGGGACCGGGGGGGCAGTGCTGCGTCGCAGGCATCTCCTTAGCCAGCTTCCCGCCTATGATCAGGACCCTATGGCATGTCAGAGCCTGGCCAGTGACAATGAGGTGAGGTGACAAACGGTGTCACTCCTTCCCGGAGTTTGCAAACTACTTTAATTGTAACTAACGCCTAATCCTAATCTTAACCCTAACCATTTGTGTTCAAGCAATATCCTGAACCCGAACCCTAACATGAACCTTAATCCCTGACCCCCATGCCCTGAACCCAAACCCCAACACCTGTCCCCAACCCAGAGCCCCCCCCCACCTCCCCCCCCAGACAGGATCATGGTAGGAGATCTAATTCCAAAACCATCAGCCCAATCACTAATTCTAACCCGATCTCCAAACCTACTGCTATCCTATCTCTAGACCGAAATCCTAAACCATCAACCAAACTCCTAAACCCAAACCTTGAACACCTAACCCATAATTGCAACATCCAAGCCCCAAACTCAAACATTAACTGGTACCCAACCCAAAACCAAACCCTAAATCCTAATCGCTACCCTAAAACCTCAATCCCAGGCTTCCAATTGATATCCATTCGCTGTTGCAGGTTTCCGCCATGCTGCTTTTTGTAAAGCGCTACAAAATGGAGGTACTGGGTGTGGGCGAGGTGGCACTGCCCGGTGACAGCGAAGCCCTGCGGGAGGCGACCAATCAGAAGGAACCCAAGGAGCAAAACCACGGTGACAAGGTTGCTGCGGACCACCACCGGGATCACGGCACTGTCGCCCCTGTAGAGCCCCGCAATGGAACAGAGAACAACACGCAATACGTAAAATACCCAATCAGCAATCTTTTATCCGTTAGAGATGTACAAAGATTCGCGGCTGCTTAAGTGGGGTGAAAAAATTAGTACATTGAGAAATCAAAGTAGGCTACCATTTGGATTTTTTGATATCGTCACCACTCTTGGTTTTCAGCGTTGCTCCGGTTGCGGCGACAACATCGGATCAGACAGCCCGGCGGTTTTTGCCGAGCACGCCGGTTACCACGCTGCCCTGTGGCATCCCGCCTGTTTCACGTGCGCCGAATGCGGCCAGGGATTGGCGGACCTGGTCTACTTCTGGTCCGATCGGAGGCTGCTGTGCGGACGACACTATTGCCAAAGCGTCAGGCCACGCTGCTCCGGCTGTGACGAGGTGAGAAATTGAGATGAGAACAAGCAGAAATACAAGTACGTCACCTACTAAAATGCAATCAAGCCAAACCATCACTCGAGTTAAGCAAGTTGGAAACTCTTGCTCAGTTGCAGCAAAAGAAATGAAATCCAAAGTAATTGAAATTAGGAGTTGTTATAATAATTAGTCTGGTGATTTATATGTATTTTTGTTAATAATTGAAGGGCCATATTTTTTTATGTGATCTTTTATTTTTTTATATTGATTTATTTTATTTGAATGGATTATATTATATAAATGTAATTTATTTATCTATATATTTTATCGACTATATTATAAAAATTATTCCATACTGTTCTGTAAAATTAAATTGTTCAAAAACTGAATGCCATTTAACTCTTTATTTGTATTTTAATTTGTCTTCACATATCCATTTTTGAAATGATGCATTATTTATATTTATTTGTATTTCTTTTTATTTTTGATGTATTTATTTTCTGTTGATTTATTCGACATTATTTGTATTGACAATATTTAACTAATGTATTTGTATTCATATTCTTGAGATATTCATATATTTTATGTCCATTATCTATATTTTTTAAATGACCCACCCCATGTATGTACATTTTATGTCTTCAGCTGATCTTTGGCGAGTCTTTCCACATGGCACAAGATGGCCGTGCGTGGCATCACCAGCATTATTGCTGCTGGAGGTGTGGACAAAGCCTGGATACGCCCTGCCACCACTGACGCACACATACACACACAGACAGAGTACAGTGGGACCTTGATTTACACTTGATGAAATCTGTTTATTTCTTGGATTATGTTGTTATAGATGACAGTGCTATTTTTCTAGATCGAACTGGACTGGATTAATGGCATTTCAGTTCATTTCAATGGGGAAAGTTGATTTGGTCAGTCACGGTACCACTGTACACAGATTTGAAGCATGTTGCTTAGCCTGAGTGGAGTCTTTCAAGTGTCCAACAGCATCGTTTGGAGTGCTTAACAGGACTTTTATTGTGGAGTGGACGCGTTTGGCTGATTTATCGCCTCATAAATTGCCGGCCAAGTGACGTGATCCAGATGTGAACGCTCGCTCGCAAGGCCTTTGGAGATGTTTGAATGAGCTCATAATTGACATTCAACTTTGCCAGACTGGACATCTTTTGACTGTAGTATTCTTTATTTTTATTCTCTCTCTCTCTCTCTCTCTCTCTCTCTCTCTCTCTCTCTCTCTCTCTCTCTCTCTCTCTCTCTCTCTCTCTCTCTCTCTCTCTCTCTCTCTCACACATGGGGAGACCCACATTTTAAACAATGTCACATTTTCAAATTTCCCCACACCGTGGCTCGCAATACACCCTGGCTGCAAAGCAGACGTGGCATCCATAAAGATGATGTTTACAACGTTCTAATATGAAAGCATTTTATTTTCATCTTTGTTTTTTTGTTGTTGTTTGACTTCATTAGATTTCAATCACAAAATTAAAATCGAATTATCTTTTGACATTATTTTCATAAATTATTATCATGTCCAACCCGAAAATAGATGAAAAATGTATAAAATGAATTAACTTTAATAAATATGTATATAACATGATGCATATACTGTATATGTAAAGGCTTTACACCCTGGTGTTTTTGCAGTTGAGTAAACAAACATAAATCTGCTAATTGGCTCCGAATTCCATCTGGTAAAACTGCTGGGATCTTTTCTTATTTTGTTGTTCTCATGAAAATAAAAACACTTGAAATGTTTGTTGTGCTCATGATTAAATCCAAATGTCAACTCATCTCAAAGAATCTCTTTTCAAGAGAGTGAGTGGGTTTAAAATGTGTGCAAAGACGTGAGGAACTCCATCATGTGTTTCAAAACAATCATCAAAAAATGGTATGTCAGGATGACGTACTCCCGGTAGGAATGTCAGCTTTTCACAGCATCGCTTGTCAGTTACATCACCAGCCAAAGAAAGCACTATTTAAGGATATTTTTACCTCCTAATTGAGACGTTTAGTTGTATTTTCACGCACCGGGATCCGGGAATGTTCACTGAGGTTATGTTCTTGACATGACTTGATTGCAGATGCTGAGGTGGTGGCGCCCTCGAGTGGAGAATAGCGGGATTTTTTCTTCATTTGTTTTAAACAGTCATTGAACGCACCATGGCCTGTCATTCCCACAAATTTCCCAATGTTCTAACTGTCTGTGAAGTCTACATCGTATTACTGTACAGTAGTTTTTGCAGCACAATTTGTCGAATAATCACAGAAAGGCAGCACGGCGTGTCCTAATGACCCTGAAAGATTTGTCCATTATACTAAATACTGACAAAATGTTCCGACCGCAATTAACGGAGTAAGCGAATCCAGGATGGCTTTTTAATTTCAGTAATGACCAGTTAAACGGGATGATTTCGGTATTTCTTGAAGTCATGAATGTAACACCGCTGGGTATCCCATTGTCCGTGAAGGCAACACGGCTTGCCGATTGTATTGAATGCCAACGACTGTCGGTCTCCAACTGTTGGCAGGGTAGTACTATGCAGTAGTAGTACCCAGTCCAAGTATCTAATCTAAAATAATATATATTAAATATGTAATATAAAGGGGGAATGGTGGTAGACTGGTTAGCACCTCCGCCTCACAGTGCAGAGGTCATGAGTTTGAACACGGCTCATCCTGTGTGGCGTTTGCATGTTCTCCCCGTGTTTGCATGGGGTTTCTCTGGGTAGTCCGGTGTCCTATTCCAAAAACATGCATGGTTGGTTGATTGAACAGTTTAAATTGTCCCTAGGTGTGATTCTGTGCGCTAGTGGTTGTTCCTCTATGTGTGCCCTGTGATTGGCTGGCAATCGGTTCAGGTTGTCCCCTGACTGCTGCCGGAAGACAGCTGCGATTGGCCCTTAGGACACCCGCGACCCTCATAAGGATAGGTTGAAATAAACATTCGCACTCACAAACACAATACCCCGAGAGAACCCACAAAGGCACGGGGAGAACATGCAAACTTCACACTGAAAGGCCGGTGCCGGAATCGAACCCTTCACTCTGAAGCGGACAATGGTAGCCAGTCGTCCACCGTGGCGACCACGTAGAGCACTTGCTCCTTTAAATGTTCTCCCCAACATTTTCCGTCGTCATTGAACGCAGCGCGGCTTGTTCATTGTACTAGTCCTTTAAGTGCTGATGAAAGGCGACCGAGTAAAAGAGGAAGAGGTCGAAACGGAGCGAGGGGAGGAGCGATAGCGGACCGAATACTGTAGTGGAGGAACCGGAGGACATTTCCATTCCTGTTGACATTGACCACCGACTCGTCGAAGTGGATTCGGCCAGGCAAGCGCCTTCCACAACTATGACATGTTAATATTTACTTATAAACAAGGTTACTAGCGTCGAACAACAAATCATTTGGCGGACTAATTTCGCATGTTCTACCTGTGTAATGTTTACATTATAAAGTGACAGGAAACGCAATCTTCGTTTTTCTCTCAATTACTATTAAATGCGTTTTATTGGTCTCATCGTAAATGCAAAACAATCTTTTCATGCTCATCATCATTCATTGCTCATTAATTTCTACATTTCATTTGACATCTAGTGACGTCAGCAGCCCGTCGTAGCACCTTTGTCCGAGTAGGAAACGTTCACGAGCCTCGCGGCCACGCGTGCCAGAGTATCAAGACGAACATGACCAAACAAAAAAAACAACTTAATCCAAAAGAATTTGCAAAATACGAAATTCGGGACGGTAAAAAACAAGTTTAGAGAATATTTAAACATACAATGAAACGGCAAAGGGTGGGTGCAGTATGCCATGTTCCAGAGTTCTTGTTAGTAAATATAAGTGGAAGACAAGACTGACAATATACAAGATAGGCCCTAAAATAAACAAAGTTTGCCTTTGTGTTTTGAAGTGTCAATTTTGAGCACCTTCTAGGGGTTGTATTTTCATGGATTCCTCTTAGGGGAATCAACGGATAAGATACCAAATGTAATTACACTTTAGTCGAGAGATGGCGGATGTTGAATTTTAAAGCTTTTTTTGTGGATAAATGTGGCCATGGAAGAGGTTGTGTGTTGGAAATTCAAGTTTCTAATAACTAACAGATCCCTGTAGATGGCAGTGCTGCATCACCATGAATTTGAGATCTGCACAACTTTAGAGTGGAAGATAAAGACGAGGCAGTGAATCTCACCTTGGCACTTGTATTACAAGGGAGACAAGTGCCAAGATGGTTGGAAGTCCGACAAGTTTAGGCAGCGAATGACTTAATGGACTCTTCTTATAGAAATGATCCGATCAGGACCAAATTTGATCGCAGTTTAATAGACAGACGGATGTTAAATTGCTTCGATTTCGAGTTAATACATTTGCGTTGAATAATGCATACAACTTTGATGATTTGGTTGAGCCCAATTTTTACAATACAATACATCCTGATTTATATAGCGCATTCACAACAGCTGCAGCTGTAACAAAGCGCTTAACAAAACAAAAAAAGTTTTTGTACATTCCTGCTCGGCAACAGAAACCAAAGTTTTAAAATATTAACGCGGTGATTAATTTTACAGCGCAGCAATGGATGAGAGCGTCACCGTGACGGCGGCGCTCGTCGGGACCGTCGTGGCGCTTCCCCTTTTGGCTTTCTTCTCGACCATGTGGCTCTGCCCCGGCATGATCATCCGGGCTTATAACTGGTGAGCATGTGAATAACTGAAACGTTACAGTACTTAATGTGCATTTTGAGTGGAAAATGTGCAATTAGTTGCAAAAGATTTGTGACCTTTCCCATTACACGCTCTCATAAAATAGGCCCTTATTTGAAAGGAAGCCTTCAATTCCCCTGAAAAGTAGACTTTGTCCCCCTCCACCCACACACACAGTGTGCGTTGGCCAAGTCACTATCACGTAACAGTCTGATGGGATGAATATTGTGCTGCTGATTTTGAAACCACAGAGAAAGAGCAAGTCGTGCTATTCATCTTCATCGAATCAAGCGCAGCTGGCCTGTTGTTGTTGACTCTGAAGACATTTCGACTCTCAACCCAGCAGGGTTCATCAGTTCAATAACAAGGTTTAGTTAGGAAAGCACCGGCTTTAGTTGAGGTGGAGAAAAACGCAACTCAATTCTTTATACTCCATGTTGGAGGCTCGCCCCAACCACCTGCTCTGTTTGGAGGTGCTGTTTCCGCCTTCACGTCGGTGTCAAGACGATATACTGTACATTTTTGCCCCTCGATCCCGGTTGACAACTGAGTCTTGACCTTGAGGACTTTGCCCGTCTGTGTTGCGCCATGCGCTTGCTCAGTGCTTGCTTGTTTTCCCCAAGATATGGATGTGGCCTTTCCTTGCCGCATTTGACCGCATACAGCTCATTTCTTTTCTGGATGTGGGTTGTCCGGTCTTTGGGGTGTACCAGCCTTCGTGTCAGGGCGGTTAGCAGGTTTGGAGGAGGGAGACATCTAAAACAGGCTGGATAGGGACTCTCAAGGACCAAGTCACAATGGTATATTCTTACTTAAGTACAGTTTTTGGGTACTCCAGCCACCTCTGGTTGGGGCACGCGTAAGTCAAAGTAGCACTTTTGTTCCTCGACCCCAATGAGTACTTTCCTATACGCCAGAGCTTTGGCGCCATCTTGTGTAGCACAAAAAAAAAACATGAATAGTTGAGTTTTTCAGAAAGAAAAAAAAAATCACAAATAATTTCATAACTAGTGAATCACAAATATTAGAATTAGAATATGGAATAAGTGTTACTGACAATCTGCTCCGTATCCTGCAGGTTCATGCGTCTCAAACTAGGCCTTGTGGTCCGCTACTCGTACAGCGGCAGCTACCGCTTCTGCTATTTCAGCCGCGGGACGCCAGGGGGCGCTACGCCGTCCTTACTGCTCCTGCACGGCTTCTCAGCCTCCAAAGACATGTGGTTGCCCTTCGTCAAGGTAATGCAAATAATACTCAAGACAAGAATTGATGTCTGCAAGTATGTTTGTATAAGCTAAACATTTTTACATGGTGCGTTTGCTTCCTTGACCAGTACGTCCCCGTGGAGCAGCACATTCTGTGCGTGGACATGCCGGGACATGAGGGTACCAGCCGTGTCGGGTCCGACGACTACAGCATTCAGAGTCAGGTTGCCCGAATCCATCAGGTGTGTGTGCGTGTGAGAGTGTTTGTCTTTCTGGAGGTGGGAAGTATGTACATTTTTTTTTTAAATGTCAATTACACAAACACAATACAGTGGTTCCCTATTATTGGGCTTTTAAACATTTTTGGACCCACCGAAAAGAGGTAAAAATTTGTGACGACTTTAAACACAAATTTATTAAAGCAAAATTTCTCAGCAACACTGTCCTCATCGCCCCTAATGCAAAGATTTAACATATGAATTGTTTCTTTCTCTGTGTTCAGTTTGTGCAAAGCGTTGGTCTGGACAAAAGACCCTTTCACCTGGTGGGAACATCCATGGGGGGCAACATAGCGGGGGTGTACGCCGCCACCTACCCATCGTACCTGTCTGGCGTGACCTTGATGTGCCCCTCTGGTAAAATGGCCGCCTGGCACACCACTAGACCATCAGCCCCTTTCACACAGAGCTGGTGTGGCACGAGAAAAGTTTGACACGCTTGGAAAAACTACACTCTGCTCCTAATTTTCCACTACCCCCTTCCACACTTTGATACTGCCTCAGTGTACTCGGATACTACCGCAGAAGTGTGTGAAAGGCATTGACGGGATCAGGGTTGTAAAGTTTGAAAACTACCTGTCTCTGTGTGCGTGGCAGAATCGCGGTTTGATGATGACGGTTCTTCCCCTTCCAGGTTTGGTGTATCCCACCGAGTCTGAGTTCATCACCCGCCTGAGGGAGATCGAGAAGAACCCCGAAGGTTCCACCATCCCTCTGATTCCGTCAAGTCCGCAGGAGCTGGAGGACATGTTGCGCCTCTGTTGCCATAAGCCCCTCAAGGTGCCACGGCAGGTAAAGAACCACGAACACGGCCGCCGCCAAATATGTGTGATGACCGTAGATGTGTTTTTGTTAACAGGTGCTGCGCGGCCTCCTGGACAACAGGATCCACCACAACCACTTCTACAGAGAATGTGCATCTTAGCAGCACATCTTCAACCGTTACACACTTGTGGATACTACGGAGCAAACTATGAGTGTTTTTTTGTGTTTATGTGCCTTTGTCTGTGTGTGTGTGTGTGTATGTGTGTGTGTGTGTGTGTGTGTGTGTGTGTGTGTGTGTGTGTTTGTGTGTGTCTTTTTTAAGTGTTCATGACGCTGGTTGAGGAGAAATCTCGTCACTCTTTGCAAGAAAGTCTACATTTGATTACGTCACCCCTGCAAGTCATTTGGGGGAAGCATGACCAGGTAATAACACCGAATGAAAAAAAACTACACACAACTCGAAAGAGACACCTCCAATTGCCCATCAGGAAAAATATCCGTAGGAAGTGTAATTATCGCATGTTATGACCTTATGTGGAAACAACATCTTTCGTGACAATTAGCATTTCACTCGGTTGTGCCGTATAGTTGATGCATATTTTGTGGCTTTTTTTTTTTTGACTGACATTAGTTTTTGGTATGTGTGGTGGCGTTGCAGGTTCTGGATGTTTCCGGGGCCTCTGCGTTGCAGGCGGCGGTGCCCCACAGTCAGCTGTTTCTCTTGGATGACTGTGGCCACACCATAGCGCTGGAGAGACCGAGGAGGGCAGCACAGCTCATCATAGACTTCCTGTCTGCGCAGGAAGTCCACAGCAAGGACACAGAGAAAAAAGTTTCCTGAACTGGAGTTGATTTCGGTTGAATACAAATTATATAATGGATAAAAGTTGTTAGAAATACATTGCTCTAATGAAATAATTTTTTACATCCATGATACTGTACAAATGTATTCGAATGATTCATTATGTTTGAACATTTTGATAGTTTTAATGCATTTCTTGCTGAGTTTATTGCAATTTTTGTGTGCTTATTTTCCGGATACGGAAGCAGCCTTTTGAACCTCAACAAATAACTTTGGATAAATAAGTTATCTCATGTATATGTGTCTCAGTACTGTTTGTTTTAAATGCAGCTATTGAAATAGTTCACAGAGTTTAATATACAACAGTGTATTAACATTTTATGGGTTCATAATTGCATTAAATGACTATAATTTGAGTTCTTTATCTAGTAGAAAATGTCGACTTTTGTTTTTGTTTTTTGCGGGGGGTGGGTGCAGGGGGTTGTGTTTTTTTATGTTTTCTTATATAGTTTGTCATTCGGCACAACTCATTGCCATTTGAGACTCGGCACGATAGAGGGCAATGGTTAACGCTTGTAGCGAGCATTAGATTACACAAAGAAGAATGGGATCGCGCAGTCGCAGATTGAAAACAAAACATGCACAATTGTAAAGTGTTTTGTAAAACTACTAAAACTAGGTAAGTAATCATTATCAAACACATTTAAGTTGTCCGAAAATTGCCACTACCCAAAACATTTGGATTTGTATTTTATGTTAACTGTCGCATTCAACCCGCTATTTGACCTCGCTGTTAGCTTGCTTTCGTCCTGCTGTGGCGACACTCGGGGGGCTTGTCAACTTTAATGATTCGGTTTGTTATTTCTCTTATCCATCATTTAAATTGTTTAAGCAAGACAGCGCACGAAGGAATAAAAAAAGTCACGGTGCAATGTTTCATGCTAGTTGTTTTAAAGCGCTAATGTTTCTTCGCTCTGAACCTTTGCGACGCTCAACTGCAATTTTGTCGCCTACATGAAGGTGCTCGAGGAAGGTCGTAAACCACATAAAAGTACTTGTAATGTGTGATAATATTTTGTAGTTATTTTTTTCTAGGCGATGCGAACAATATAAAGGTCAAAGTACATTTTTTTCCCAGTCGGGAACTGGTGTAAATCATTGACGAATCTACGGAGCCGTTCATCAATCTGCTCGAGGTCCTGATTTCAAGTCTTTGATTGGGATATTCGTCACTTGAAAAAATGAAATGGAAAAAATACATTAATCACCTCCATTTCTCCATTGTGAGACTAATAAATGTGTTATCTTATATTAATTCAAGGTTTTTGGTATGTATTTTTTTTCCTTCCCTTCTGTGTTAAAGCAATTAAATTTAATTTTTTTTTTAACTTAATTTTTGTTTTGGTACAGCCGCTGATGCTTGAATAGGATGAATCCCGAGAGCAAGGACGAGCCTGTTGTCTACCAAAGTGTCGTGTTGAAGAACGCCGCTCCGTATCAGTACATGAAAGTCTGCCTGTAAGTCAGCAACGCAGTTTAGTCTAATTGTGACTACTTCATGATGACTACACTTTGTATCATTTCAAGCGTGCTGGAGGACAAGTCGACCAAAGTGAGTGCAGTTGACCTGAAGCAGTTCATCATCACTGGTTTGAAGAGTCTCCATGGAGAGGTAATAAGTCCCAAATGAATTCTGCCTTTGCAATGAATGTGGTCAGAGAGGACAGAAAAGACCTTAAAAGAACCTGAGTGAAAATGGAACTGATTGTTCACTGCAGAATCAGCCACGTTTATAGATAAAGTTTTTATGCTTAGGTGGGTGCCGCGTCACACTTTGATGTGCTGAAGTATGACGAAGACACCCTCACTGCTTTCCTGCGTGTATCCACAATGTAAGGAAGTCAAAGTGTAAAAGAGAGTGTGTTTGTTTTGTTTACTTTTATTCAATTTTTTAGTGGGTTGGTGAAGCTGTGGAGCTCGTTGACACTGCTGGGCTTCTACAACAAACAGAGCTGCGCTTTTCGAGTGCTGCAGGTACGCTAACTCTAATTGCCCCACGGGGATAAATAAAGTTTTCTGAATCTGAATCTAACTGATTTCTTGCTTTTACCGCTCTCACAGTTGCCATTTTGGGGGGGTTGGGACTAAAACATGATGCAAAAATTGCAAGTATTGGTGTATGCTCTGTTGCTGCTCTGCCTGTGCTTGAGTAGAAGTTGTTTGACAGTTTAGAATTACAATAATATCTGTGAATTTTCCGTTAGCCCGTCTGTGGTGTTTTTTATTGTATGGTAGCATCAAGCTAGTGAACTTTTGTTAGACAAATTGAATTGAAATATTTTAATTTTTTTTGTCCAATGCGCGTTTCTCAGCCACATGGGTTCTCATAGCAGGCGTTTGAAGCTTTATAATTACCGTAACACAGAATTTATTAGCCCGTTTGACTTTTCCCATGATATGTTATTATCAAGGAAGCATACTTTTGTTAAAACAGGGTGATGTCTGGTTGAACCTTTTGGAGTTTGTATATTCACAGTTTAATTCTCTGTTTTTTGTCTGTTCTTCCCAAAAACTCAGGTGTCGCCGTTCCTGCTGTCTTTGACGGGAAACAGTCGTGAGCTGGAGCTGGACTGATACCGCAGACAATTGACGAGAACCATGTGGAGTCAAGTCAGAACTTTGCTGTCCTCCTCCATCCCGACGACGGTGGCGGGAGCACGGCTTCACGTGGGCCAGCGCGCCTCCCTCACCAAAGTCTTCTCGGCCCGCCACGTGGAGCTGTTCGCCGAGCTGACGGGCGACACCAACCCGCTCCACCTGGACGCTGCCTACGCTGCCTCCACCGCCTTCGAGGCCCCCGTGGTCCACGGCGTCCTCATCAACGGGCTGATCTCGGCCGTGCTAGGCACCAGGATGCCGGGCCCCGGCTGCGTTTTTCTCTACCAGGAGATCCGCTTCCCGGCGCCGCTCTTCATCGGCGAGGAAGTGCTGGCCGAAGCCGAAGTGCGCAAGATCAAGATGTCGTTCGCGTTTATCGGCGTGACATGTTCGGTCAAGGACAAGGTGGTGATGGAAGGGGAAGTGATGGTTATGATGCCGGAGGAGCAGCAATTGAAGTGACGCTTTTGAGGCACATCTTTTACTGTTCAGTTTTTTGTTGCCGTTGTTGATTTTTGATGGATGATGTACATCACAGCTGGCCTTGTGCATCTTTTTTTTGTTGTTGTTGCCCACTTAAGTAAATAAAGCGTATCTCATTCATGTAATTGCTGAATGGATTTGATCTTTTGATCTTGGCAGGAAATCTCTACTGAAATAGAAAATTTTCATGCTGAACATTTTTTCATCCCCGCCAGGTGCCTTTACAGAATTTGAACAGTAGTTCTTTACTTAAATATGTTATTGCCACAATTTTGCTTGACTTCTGACTTCAAATTCAAGAGCAATGCAGGGCGATTGTGTATGTGTCGGACTGGAACCTCATATGTAATAATTTAGTCACTTTTATATTTTTTCACAAACACATTTTTGGTCACTACACATGTACCTGTTTTTTTTTTTTTTAAACAAATTACTGACCAAGCAAAAGTGTTAAAATCGCTTTCTTTCTTTTACAATGCAATCCTAAGCACTCAGCGAACATGCCATTTTTGGGTTTCCTGAAAAGTGATGATTTTGTAGTTAGGGTGATTCCACCCTATGCCAGCCGTGTTTTATTTTTCTCGTGTTGTTTTTATATTATCACCAGCGAATGCGATACATATATTGTTGAATCAAAATTAATTTGACGTTTCTTTTAAGTAATTCGACGTCCACTACGTCATGTTTATATTTTGATTCTCTCTCTCTCTCTCTCTCTCTCTCTCTCTCTGTGCATACGTTCATCATAAATGGATTTTGCTTCCTCCAGGTGGCGGTAGCGCGCCCGCCCTATGATTATTGAACCTCTGATCAAGTCTCATTTCAGCCGACGAAAGCAGAATTGATTTTTCATTACGCTGAAGCGAAACTGCTAGGCTATTCGCGCCAGCCTGAGCGTCTTCGTTTAGGCAACGACACGCTGCCAGCCCCAGGCACCCGTTTTGGATTGTCGCCGGTTGCCTACCTCCCGACGTCCGGGATGTCTTTCCGGGCGAAGCCGATCCCCGGCCAGCTACTCCTGGACGACACCGTCCCGCTAACGGCAGCGATCGAAGCCAGCCAGAACCTCCAGTCCCACACGGTGAGCGCCCCATTTTTACCGGCGAGAGAGTCACGTAGGTGTCCGCGTTTTGTGCCACACAACTGGGACGATTGGCTCAGGCGAATTCACGGGGACGTAACCGTTTGTTCACGGTTCCATTATCGGACACGCTCGTTGTTGTCATCGCCGCGAAAAGTGACGTTCGTCGGCGCGATACCTGGTTCCGTTATGGACATTCGTCCCCAGGTTATCTGCTTCCATTATCGGACACGCCCGTCGTCCTCAATATATGGCAAAGTGGCATTATTGAAACTGGATCAACGAATATTAAAATAAGGTTTCCCGCCGCATGCGAGGGAGATTTTTTTTTCGGCTACGGTTGGATCAAAGTACTGCCACCGTGATGAAGCAATTTCCTGGAAGCTTCTGTTGCAATGTGGAAAGAAATTACTTGCTGATTGTGACTCACGGCCCATTGCTTTTATTGCTTGCATACCTCGAGCTTTTGACGATCATTTGTCACAGATCAAATGAGCCGCGCTAATATAAATAAAAAATATCTAATGCGTTAATTCGCAACGGTTGTTTCCCGTGTCCGATAATGGACGCATATGTTGGGCAGTTGTTGACAAGATTCCGGCTGGGATCAGCTGAGGCTGACATTTAGCTTAGCATGCTAACGCCAAATGCCAGCCAAACCTCGCACTGGTGGCCGATGTTTGTCTTTCTCATCCGAATGGACAGCGGATGTGTCTCACCAACGTTTTTATGATCACCATGTGACGGAAGCAAAACACCTCCTGCTTATTGCTCCATTGGTGACGTGTTTCGATGATTGTTTTAATTTATTTTTTCACATCGGAAGGCTACTTAATTAGGTACACCAACTAATGACAGCCAATAGGAAAGCTGCGTAGAAGGGCTGGGGGAGATGAAAATAAAAAGGAAACGGACAAACAAAACAAAAAAAAAATCAAACAAACACACGCACACACATTTCGCTGAAACATAAAGAAAATTGCAGTGACATAATTCAAAGCCATTTTTTCCTAATAATAAACAAGCTTTGAAACATTTTCACCGCAAGTCCCTCCCACCCCAAACATTAACTTGCACAGAAATAAGGGGAACATATATATTTTTTGACAGATTGCCTATAATTGAATCAAGTAGCTCTCCATTAGCTTTCCCCAAGGGATGAATAAAGTAGTTATTTTCTTTGATCATATCCATAATGCAAAATATTAACCACAAGCCTCCCTCCCCTTTTTGACATTGTCCCCTTTTGCTTTGTGTGCATGTAGGAGTACATCATTCGAGTACAGAGGGGAGTGTCCTCAGAGAACAGCTGGCAGGTAAGACCATTCATCAAAAACTACTACACATCGGGTTTTCCATCCCTTTGGAGGAAAAGAACCATTCACAGCCCCAATTCCACTTCCACTAAGTGTGTCTGTGTGTTTGTGTTTGTTCCCCAGGTCATCCGCCGCTACAGTGATTTTGACGTTCTCAACAACAGTCTGATGGTGAGTCATGAATCAGCTGCAAGAGCTAAAAAACAAAAAGACACAAACAAAAATAAAAACATGTCAAGGCAGTAGTAAATCCAATGAGTATGGGAACCGAATGGGCCATTCTGAGGAGGTTCGGTCTTTGACCTTCTTATAACAGGATACTGCCAAGTTTTTTGCTGAGGTTTTCCCCATTCGCTTCCTGTTTCTTACAACAATGCTGCGCATAAGCATGATTAAAGTAAAACAAAACAAAAAAAAAAAAAGCTCAGCATGTGCTTGTGCTCCACAGGTGTGCGGCGTCAGCCTTCCCCTCCCGCCCAAGAAGCTGATCGGCAACATGGACCGCGAGTTCATCGCCGAGAGGCAGCGCGGCCTGCAGGCCTATCTGGACGCCGTTACCCAGCATCCTTTGCTGTGCGCCGCCCTGCCCGTCAAGAAATTTCTGGACCCCAACAACTATTCTGCCAACTACACAGGTGGGTTCCTGGCAATTTTCCCTTTTCCTTTCACTTTCCCAGAGGAACTATATCGGTACCTCAACTTAGTTTAGATGCCGACGCACAATGCGAAATGCCATAGGCGGGCTCACAAAACTTGCATCAATGTTGCGGGAGCTGTGAATGTTGAAGCAATTGATCTTTAAACACAAAATGTTACAGCTACACATGTACACAGACAATATAACAAAACACCGGGCATATATCACTAGTATCACACTAAAATTTAGTTAAGTTTTAATTAAGTTAAAAAAAAAATGGGGCAAAAAAAAGCACCTTATCCACTGAACAAGAAAAGTCCCGTACGATTGATTGAGCCATGATCCTGGATGACTGACAATTGCTATTGTGCTATTTTTCCAATTTAAAAAAAAACACACACTGGCAAATTTGAGAAAAAAAAAAAAACAACAAAAAAACAGCGTTTAACAAAAAAATGTGCTTGTCTTTTAGAGATCGCCCTGCAGCAGGTCTCCATGTTCTTCCGCTCAGATCCCAAGTGGGTGGTGATGGAGCCACTCCGAGACCTTGGTACGATGCCACCGTGGTCCCAAAATGCTCATCAGGCTCCATAGCAGCGCTCCAGCAACACAATCTTCTTGTTTTGCAGGCTGGAGGATCAGGAAAAAGTATTTCCTGGTCAAAAACAAAGAACAAGTCAAGGAGAGGTACCTGCTCAGCTGGGTGAGTGCCACGCCACAACTACACATTTTTGTTCATTTGAAAGATGATGCACCGTATTAAATATTAATGCATCGGTGCCTTGAGAGACAAGTTGAATTTGTTCCTGGCCATACTTGGAACCCAAAAGACGCACATCTCAAATCATATTTTCCCAATGCAGTCTGTGCAAATGACATTAATCCGTTCCAACCTCCTCCAAGAAAATGTAATTCTGTGTGTGTGTGTGTCTGTGTGTGTGTGTGTGTGTGTGTGTGTGTGTGTTTTATTTATATAGCTCTCCAATGTACATTATAAAAACATGCATAATTGGCTTGAATATAAAAATGGCTCAATTTTACCACGTTTTTTTACTACAATTCAATTAGACAGCATGAGCGCCTTGCCCGCCTGGGGCAGTGTGATACACATAGACGGTCAAAACGCATCCGTAAGCTGCAGCAAAATTAGCCAAAGACGAAAGAATATATGCCCGCGAGTATTTGTTTTCACGTGTCTCAATGACTTTGTCGTGGCCAAAGCAACTCTCTTTGGCCGTTATTTTGTCAATTGGCTGCGCTTCAAATCAGAATTTCTCCAAATTGAAATGAATTAAACACTGTCATGTTAATGTGCGTGTAGGTGGACTTGGGCCCTGACAAGTTCCTGTCTGACAAAGACCTGCAGTCGACCATGAAGCTCCTCACCAGCCTCTCTGTACGTACGCCTCATATTATGGGATGTCTCCACGATGGCGCGGTATCCCTCCTTGGGTGGCTTCCGTGTGAAACGGATTTCTAAGCGCCTCGTCGCTTCTTTCCAGAGTCCTTACGTGTGTCCGCTGCTGTTCTCCAGCACGAGCGAGTCTACGGCGCTTCTCATCCGACCTTTCAGCGAGGCCGGCTCCCTGCGAGATCACATCTGTAAGGTAAGAAGCCTCACAAGTCCCACTTTTCCTGAAAGCAGCGTTAAGCGTGTTCAAGACGTGAGTCAATCATTGCAGGAAAAAAAAAAAGCAACTACACTCTCATGAACTGCCTTAATAAAGTTAGCAAAGTCAACTTATGAACTACAACGTTTGTGGACCATATGTGACTTGTTTGCATACGGCACATAAGTCATGAGTCAAATGTTTGTGTCAGGTGAAGCCCAGAGAGAACTACCTGAAAAAGTACGGCAACCCCAAAAAGAGTCAGCCTCTCGAACTGTCGGAAATCAAACTCTACGGCCGACAGATACTGGAGGTACGCGCGCCCGCGGACACGCACGCACATCGACACTGACTTGTAGTCAACTCTACTTTTGTGCGCTCAGGGCCTCCGACTCCTCCACGACGGCGGGCTTTTTTACGGCCACCTGCAGGCCTCCAATGTGATGTTGGAGCAGGGCGTGTGTCGCCTGACGGACGTGGA